TTATCCATACTGAAATCATAAGAACATTAAAATCTTAGAGCTTAGTATTTCCCCAGCAACATCACCCAACTATATTAAATGAATATGCTATTTTATGTGTCTCTTTTTGTTAAATTTGTACATTATCAAACCATAAAGTCTGGTTTTTTGGTTTTATCAATTTTATGGTTTTCTGTCATTTAATAGTTGCAGAGCAGTGAGCTAATGCATAAGACTTCAACAGTCAGATCCTTCTCTTTTTAGTGAAAAGGAGCAATTTCTCATCAACTTCAAATGAAATAATACTTGGTCTTTGGATAGATACAAAATATACCATCTTCTCTCTTCAAACTTATCTCTGCAATTTTATCTTCTGCTGCTTGCATTTACTAAAATGTATTTATTGTTTTTGCAAGTAACAGTAACCAAGATATAATTACAGCTTTCCATAAGTTCAGTAAATACTTCATTACAAATAGCCTTTTCAAATAGGTGTTGGTAAGGTTTCCAATCCTATATTAAATGCTCAAATAGTAATGATAAAATAAATCATAAGTTTATTTTTGTAGATTTATTTCTCTCTGGTGAATAATTGAAATTAAGAATGAAGATTTACCATAATGCATACATTGATTGTGTAATGCATGCACAAATTTTCAGACATGTATAATTATTACAGATGGCTACATTGTATATATTTTTGAAGCTAGGACTTCACATTTTCAATTCTAGCCTACAAATACAATTTATATTAATTGTAATAACTCATAACCATATTGTCCATTTAGATTTTGTGAAGCATTATTATTCTAATAGCATTTTAGACTGGAAATTTCTTCATGTGCTATTTTCTGGAAGTACACTGAAAATTGTGTGCTGTATATAGGACATTAGCAGTTTCAACGCTGAAAAATTTCCAAGTACATCCAGAAGAATTATTTTCTTACATTTTCTATTGCGTGAATTCAGGTATCCACTCAGAGATAATACCTTTGTGGGACTGGATGGCTATCTCCTGAGCCTCATGAAAAGATCACATCCTTGGACTTTTATGGGGTTTTGTGTTTGTTCCCACACCCCACCCAGCAGGAGCTATTTTCCTAAAGTTCTAGGCAAAGCTGCGGAGTTTGGGGCTTTTTATAATATACGCTTTTTTGGCTTGTGGGGATTGAAAATCAGTCACAGGAGGGACAATAGTTGGTGAAATGTTTTTTGTGGGTTTTTTTTTTATAATGAAGAAAGGCTCTTTTTCTTTATCACACATTTTCCTTAATTTTTCTTCTGTCAAGAGTGATTTTTTTTTTTCCTTTCAAAACTTTGGTTCAAACAAACATCTAAATTAATGGTACATTTACGAGAAATGCACGCATACAAGAGGCATCTTCCTGCTGTTCATCCAGCTAGTGAAAGAATGAGGTTAACACTTAAGATCTTACCAAAAAGAGTAAATAGATGCTTTTATAACATTTTGTTTTTCTGTCCATCTGCTAACGAATGTAATTAGAAAGGAAAATTGGTGCTGTCTGTTATGATAGGGACTGACACAATTATAACCGTAACTACCGCCTGATACATACACAATTTGTGGAAATAGTCACTTTTGGGGTCTGATATTTTCCCAGGCTTGGTCTCTGCTGAGGAATTATTCATTTATTTGTAAAAGCTTACGCGAAATGTGTATGGTTTCAAAGGGCTGGGAACACCCCTGGAGTGCCGCGAAGGCTTTGATGTTGCAGAGGCAGCTGAGTCAATTCAGGGGTAAGAGCTAGATTGTGCCCTCTCGTCCCACTGCCAAACCCTGTGTGGTCAGCTAGCTGCCTTTTCAGCAACTGGCTAGTGGCGTTTCTTTCAGGTTAGTGGTCCAGAAAGCAAAGTTAACCTTTCAGACTACTCTCTGAGCTCTGAACATTAATGCTGTGATTTTCCCTGGCTCTAAGACCTGCGCGTGGACCCAGTGCACTTGAGCAAATCCAAGCACAGTCAGGAAAGCGGTGGTGGTGGTGGTGATCCAGACGAAGGAAACGTAAAGATGACGTTCCATGCGGAAGCTTTCCTTTGACGATGCCACCGAGATGGACTGTGTTCTTACCATGTCCTCCTCTCAAATGCACTGATAATACACACAGCTGGAATTTTAAAGGCAGTTTAAGAAAATCCTCTCTATAGCATGTCAGGGTTTCACTTTCCTGGGTTCCTTTAATACGTACTAAATGTATAGAATAAAGCATGCTGTTTGTGGACATCAGGCGAGGAGGGTGCTCAAAATTTGGATTTCCTGATTTGATGGTTAGCTGTGTGCACATTTGCTTTTACTATTAATTTAATCTAACAGTTCTTTCTATATGAAGATGTATCATATGAATGAGTTTTCATTACAGTGGCAGCAAATTAATCCTTTCAGGGGAAATGTTTGAGGAAGTGGGAATACAATTAGCCCTTTTAAATCATATTCCCTAACATATGTGAAATAGCAGATTGCAACAATTTATATTTGGTGCCTTCTGTCTAACACAAGTCCTATTGCGTTTTTAAGATAACAGCTTCTCAATCCTAGTAATTTTCATCTTTAAAATCTTAAGAGTTCCAGGTTGACAAAAACAGTGTAACTTCTGCCTTTCCAAGTTAAATCTGATTTATTTTAGATAAACTAGCATTAAAGTCTCTTGGTAATTGTCTGTCTTCTATCGGTTGCAGCTGATTTGTCCCAATAAACAATTCCAGAGTGCTCTGTGTCAGATCAGCATTGCATCTGTCATGAGGCTGTTCTGAGGCTGACGTGAAGGGATTGTTATTTTTCACTATAGTGCATTCTTTAATTTGTTGACCTTGCTTACCACAAGCACTTTTGTAGTTTCTTAATTGCAGTTTTTTAATTCATTAAAATGAATTATTGCAGTCCTAGTAATACCAAAATCACGACACTCCTCTGTACAGGAGATTGCAAAGTGTTTTATGTTCTTGAGCGAGTCCCATTTTAAGACACTGATCATGGCCTCAGAGCCTTACAAGAGCCATCAGCTAGTGATACTCTTAGCAAATTCCAAATCTGATACCATATATTGAAACCGTACAATGATTAGTTCTCTGTATTTCATGACATCAAGATGCCCAGCAGACAGTTATTCATAGAAGAGCATTCTGCTCAGATGGAGGTAGGCAGTGCCCTACCAAGTCCAAAACCAGATCTTCTGCACATGTGTAAAGTATCAGGTGCCAATTTATGTACAGGAAGGGCCACCAGATATGTTCACTGAGCTTGGTTCCTCCAAAATCTGAAATATAACTCTGCTTTGATACTGTGATCAACAAAATTATTTAGCAGCTGTTTGACTTCCATGAGACAGGATTAGGTGCCATGTCATTCATAAACCTAAGTTCACAGAAGAATAGAAAATAAAGGGTATTTCTTGGATTGTGCTTGAGTCTTTTTGGCCTGCTTCATCCATAGCAGTCACTGTCTTTATAACTTGCTGAATTCAGAACACAAAGAATGAGGAGAGCAGCCAAGGAATTAACAATCACAGAAAGTTGGATTATTTATTGATGGAGGAGATCTCAAAATTCAGATTGGGATTGACTTGTCCAAGAATAGCAGAGGACAGTGGCACAGAACCACTGAGCTATGAAGTCTCATGTTAGCATGGGCTTCATGCTTTGTGGGTGCTTCATCTAGCTAATTGATCAGAAGTGCTAAGGGAATTCATTTTGACTTTTATCTAGGGATATGTGAACATGCCATGGAACTGTTCGGCTTTATAAACCCCTGTAAACCAGATGAAGACTCTTACTTTGGCTGCACATCTGCCAACTACATAGATTATGGAGTTAAATTCTTAAGTGCCTATGGTTTCACAGCAGGTTTGTGCGAGGACTGGAGGAAGGAATCCACTCAACAAGTAATTTCTTCCACTGTTCCAGTTACACCTTCTCACCGACTACAGTTCCACATTTGGCCATCTCATATAAACCAGATATATACAGAGCGACCTTTTCTCTACGTAATGTGCTCGTGTTGATCATCTGTATGAAAAATTCCAAGCATTGCATAATATGAAACATTTATTTTTGTTCTCATCTTACTATTAAGTCCAGTCTCATTATAAATTTCCCAAACTTTGACAAGAGATACAGAATCAGACATGTTACATACATTAATTTGGCAGGCCAGTGGCAACCTCTCACTAAGAAATACAATCTTCCTTTCTTTTTTTTATTTTAGTATGAAAATTTTATATTGCGTACCATGGTGTGTACACTTGTATGCACTGCTTTTATGCACATTCTAGCTAAAGGAGATAGCTCTAATTGCTGAACCACTGTCCTGCTTGATATATACAGAGAAGAAAATTTAACTCATATAGATCAAGCAGGTTTTTATTATAATGATCAAGTGTTACAGGCTGCACAGCATTCACAATGGACTTTTTTTGTTTCTGTAGAGACAAAAGAGTTTACATGGAATGGTTTGCTCTGAGTTCTGGTACATTTGTGTCACTTCATACACCTGAGACAAAACGCAGTTTGTATCTGTGGAGCACAGGAGGGAAAAAGAGATCCTAAAGTAGTTTAAACCTTGAATTAGATATGTTTGTAAAGCTCCCTGATACAAACTGATGAGCACTATATATTGTAAAGGCTTTCATGGTTTGTATTTGTACTGCAAGACTATAATTATTTATAATACCCTTTAATATTTCTGTGTGATGGCCAGTGCTATAAATCTAAGAATGTAAGATTATGGTGAGAAATAATACTGTCAAGTACTTTAAGAAGTTTTATAGGTGAAGCGTCTGACCTATAACGAAATAGTCCCAACTCTGGTTTGGGAACTGTATTTATCAAGTACAGCAAATTCTTTGTATAGTTTACCCAAGAGTTTCTGATACACCTGAAAAAGTAAAGTTCATACTCATATACTATAATTATTTTTTTCTGAATTAACGAAGACAAGGATTAGTTTTACTTTGAGTGGAAATGCAACACATATTGGTTAATTAATTTCCTTGTTTCCTCAAATACAGATCTGCAGACTTCAGCGTCACCTATCAACAGGAAAATACCAGCAGAATCTCTTTTCAAACCAGCCTGTCATGTTTGTATCTCCTACCAGTCAGCCACCGTGCAAAAAACTAATTGAACTTATACAGCTGTCAGGAGGGAAAATATGTAAAGTCTTACGTCAGGCAAAAATCTGTATAGGAAAAAACCCAGGAAAGAAGTACCGGGAAATAAAAAGTTTATCAGAAAAATGGGTATTAGGTAAGACACTAAATTTCAACTCATATAAAATATTGTGGAAGATGTATTCAAAAATTGACTGTAAATAGTTCACTAAACTGAGGTTATGGAGGGAAGAAAATGGAACAGACTGCTACAGTTAGGTTTTCAGGAAGGTTGTCTCCATGGCGAGGACTTTCTCTTACAACTAAGACTGCTTTATGGTGGTCCTGGTACTCACCGTTGTAATTCCAGCCAAATATTTTCAAATTTATCTTTTGTATGATTGTTTCATTTAGAGCAAACTAAATTATGGGGAAAACCCCATAGGATAATTGCTTTTTAAAATGGCATGTACTTAGATGTAGTAAGAAAGATTTTTAACTGGTATAAACTGGCACAGCACTACTGAAATACGGTAATTGGCACCCTCTGATAATCTGTCCTGAATTACATATTGAAAGATGTACAACTTGCAAAAAGTTTCTTTTTAAAATCTGTTGTTAAGTTTCTAAGAGTTGTTAGTCCATCGCTTTTCCATTAAGGACACCACAGTTCTAACCGTTACCTGTTTGCAGGGAATCAGATGTAAAATGGCAATATCCTCACGCTCAAAGAAAAGCTTTTGATAATCTATGTAGGATTCACAGCTTCCAGCCTGACACTCTTCCTTCTTCAGACAAGATAAGGGTATTTTCCAAAAAGGGACCTTTTGCATACTAGAAAAAATAAGATTACATTTTCGTCATACACTATGTCAGACTCCTCTAGATAGCGCCTCACTCAGACTCCAGCAATAAATGTACTACATGAATTGATGTTATACGAGACTAGCCAAGCAAGTCCCGATCTCTCAACCGTTAATACTATCAGATCATAATGACTTCAAACCGGAAAGAAAATACCACTAAAGAAGACAGGAAAAGTGAGCCATAAGGGAAAAATACTCATCTAAATGCAAATGTTATTTGATGCTTTCTTAAAGTATAACATAAAATTGTGAAGATTTGAGAGAGAGGTGTAAGAAGGCGGCATTGTTTATTGTGCCTTTCTCTGGCTTCAAAGTGACCAGATGAGGAAACCAGAGGTTTGTGCAAGACTAAAAATACGAGTAGGAAATTAAACACAGAAGTTTCACATAGTGGTACTCCAGTCACAAATTCCAGATGAACAAAGGTAAGGATCTAAAGTGGCATGCAACTCATGTGGCACGTCCCACTCTTTTCCTGGTCTCATGGAGTTCTGCCTCACCCCAGGTCCAGTATCGCATGAGCTTACTGCAGCTGGACAGGCCACGCTCAGCCCATCGGTGGGCTGAAGAAATTGTGTATCCGGCTGCTAATGAAAGAGGATTCTGAATTCTTTGTGCCCGTTACAAATTTCTCAGTTCTCTTTTCCAGTCTGATGGTGCCTTTTCCAATTGTTATGTCCTGCTCACGAGGCACAGTTATGCAAGCTCTGGCTAATGGATTTTAAATGACGAATCATCAAAACTCAGAAAAAAGTATTTCTATGTGATACTTTAAAGGAAGGATACATGCCTTTGAAGCTCAGCCCCTTTCTCAGCAACTGTTTACATAAATAGTATGAACAGTGTCACCTATAAATTGCCATCTTAATCAAATAAATCAGATCTGAAGTTTTGTCTTATCTTTGACACTTCACTGTTGCAATCCAGTTGGTTGTGGCTATCTGCTTTCTGCTGTTAAAACCAACTGCCAATTAATTCACTCAAGGCTGACTACAATAAAAAGTGTATAGGTAGATAATACGGCACCTTTTCTAAACTTAAATAAAGGATAAGTTCTTGCGGTATTATCATTTGACTGCTTTTTTTTTAGGGTCCTTCTCTCTCTAGGTTCTCAGCTCCACCAAACTGTTTTATACCAGAAATTGCTCTGAAGTACATTGTTGCTTTATAATCTTTCTTGTGCATTTTATCTTAAATAATCCTGGTTTTTTTATCTATTTTAGATTCAATCACTCAGCATACAGTATGTCCCATGGAAAACTACATTTTTCAGCTGTGAGCTAACTCAAGAGCTTCCATATGGTTTTAAGGAAACAAGCCTAGTTTGGATTCCACAAAAAAAGGAGCTGTGAATAAAATTTCTAAGAAAACGCAATATTTATAAATACAGGGAATGTTTTCTACATGTTCATTACTTGTGTAAGTGTTCATCTTGTGAAATCTTTGGGTTTTTATAATAAAGTACTTCCCTAATAAAAGTCATCTTGCTTTTATTTATTTGTTGAAGACCTTTGGACCTAAAAGTTGAATGATCATTATTCACTTGGAGGAAGTGGAAAGATATTTTCTAATCTCCAAGCGAAGCTGATCACGTTACAGTGCCATTAAAAGATGTGCATGCAGTGTGGGTGAGCGTGCCTGAGCTAGCTCTGGTGTAGTCAGCAGGAGCTGTGCTACCAATGCAGATGCGTGGACTCTGTAGGCTCCTCTGTTCCGAGTGCCTCTGCGGACAGCTTCAGCCCACGTTGCCACATCTTCATGACCATTGCTAATTACATTTCTTTGATAAAAGGATAAGGTTGCCCATCATGCTCAACTCACACTGCTGGTGTAAACTTGCACTTCTAAATTGAGTTTTCAAAAGTAATTGAAACTCGGTGATTATGCTCAGATGCATAGTTAAGATATTAGTTTATTTCAATACCTTTAATTGAATTTCAAACTGTATCTACCTTACATCTAGGCTGAAACCATAAACAGTTACTGATCCTGAGCCAAATGAATTAAGACAACACATCATGCAAGTGCTAAAATCTGTTGAAAATGGAACCTATCATTAAATCCTTTAGGTGTGATTGAAAAATATATGCAAATGTCTTAAATGTTAAATTCCTCTTCAACCTGTGGTTTTGTCTTTAGCAGGTACAAAGTAAGATTTGTATGTAAAGTATGTTGTGTAACACATCTATAAATGTACAACCTCCTTGAAATACCTGCAAGGTCCATCAAAATGATATATCATCATCATAGAGAATACTGTATTATCAAGTAACTCAATGGGAGCTCATAACTCATGCCTTCCAAACTCAATGCTCCCCTCAGAGTACTGTCAGTGTAAGGCAATGGAAATCCTGTACTAAAAATAATGATTTCAAGTTAATGTTATGGAACAATCAAGGTACAATGGTTTACAGACGTGGCCATTCTATTGCATTGTTCTAACTTCTTGGGCTTTTTAAGAGACTTGGATGTACAATTTCTGTAAACTTGAGGATTACACAATTATTTTCTTCAAAACAATTTCATCAGTATCTGGACGGCAGGCTGTTTCAGGCACAAATTGCATCTGTATCGTTGCTCTGTAAAATGTTAAACATACTTCTTAATGGAAAAGCTCCAAGTTATGATTATTTTATGGAAAATTAAACTGACTTTATTTTCAGAAATACTGAGCACCTGTAACTCAAAAGGTTAAGATCTCATTTTCAAGTATCTAAGTGCTATATAGCTGGTTTTAGTATATAAACTAGAAAATATAATTTATTGAGGTCTTTTCCTTGCTTAGTTTTCTGACATGCACATTTTTAACAACATCTTAAAATTGGTAATCAGGTCTGTCTACAAACTGTACTGTTTATAATCAAAACTATTTACCTATTTAGTGCAGAGCACTGATAACACGGTATCACTCTTCACCCTTGACTTTATGAGCCCCTTTATTAAGAAACTAGTTGCCAAGTACTATAGACTAAAACACAAATACTTAAATAGGTTGTGACATATGAACATATGGTTCCCAGTAAATAACAGAATAATTTGTTTGAATTATATTGCTTAACTTTGAATATTATGACCTCCTAGTTTATTTTGTAATCATTTCCTAAGTGTACTACCCATAAAAATCTGTCACTATTAATTTAGATAATATAACATTCCAAATCAGTTTTCTTATAAATCTTCCTAAGATTAATCTCAGCTATTCAAATTGTAAATTCTGGGATTAATTTGTTGGTCTTTATTAGTCACACGTGGAACAGACTTGACAATAAAAAGTCTAATATACTTTTTTCTGAATTACAATGTTTCAGATAAAACAATCTGTCAATTTAGATAATTTCATCTTAAATTATCTGGTTTGATAGAAATCCCTAACTATTGGCTGTTTTTGCAAACTTTGTAGTACACAGGTAAATATAGCCAGCAGGCAATTAAATGCCTAATTTTGGTCTCACGTTATGGGCAACAGGGGTGCTGTCCATCCATCCTGACTATTGCTTTGTAATAGTACAGAGCGAATACAGGAGAGGTTAGAATTAAATCTAAAGGCTAGCATGTTGTACAGGCAGTAAAAAAGAAATAGTTTCATGTTTATAGCCTGGAGTCTTTCACACGAACAGCTTCTGACCTACGTACCCTAGTGTGGGTTCTCAACCACCTCAGCGTTGGAAGGAAGGCGTGTTTCTACCCAAGACCTCAACAGGAAAAGACACCGACTCTGGTCATCCCCTCAGTAAACCAACACGGGAGGGGGAATGATGAAAACTTGTCAAATGATTCATTTGTCAGAAGAAATCCACCAACCGAAAAAACACTTGTACTTGATACCAAGGTCCTAAGGGTGGTAACACACAGAAGAAAAGGCACAAAACCCAGCAACGTGAAGCATCCTTGATTCATGGGTAGTTTTGAGTTACCAGTGCTAAGATCTTTGCGACCGTACAGTGCTTAATTGACATTCTGCCATAGTACAGCACAGCCGCCCTGTCTCCTCTACAAAATGGTACCGTGCTCACCTTATCAGGAATTTACTTTTTTTTTTTTTTAATTTCTTTTTTTTGCTCTCAATCTTTTTTTGTGGAGGAGAGGTTGTCTTAACCTTACCTTTTTTATCCTGCATGAATATTTTTGCCATTCATTTGTGAAAACAACTTAGCTCAGCTGCTGTCTCTCCTTCTCAGAGAGCTCCTACACCCCTGCTAGAGGCTGTCTCTAACAAAATCACATTAGCATGATTAAAGATCTTTCTAAGTTAGCTTAATTTGATTAGGAATCTGTTTAAACCAAAATAAATTGAAAAGCCAAAATAAGTATTATTCCTTTCTGAGATTCACATTGACTGAGTTAATTCTTAAAAGTAGTTTAACTCCCAGCACAGGTCCTATTTCAACTCATTTCACTTGCATCGGTGGTATAGGTGATATCACTCGGATGCACAGACCACCACCATCCCTTCCCTCCTTCCTCTTCCAGAAATAAGAAGAGGTTTTGCCACACTTTGCATAATTTACTGGGGACTCATATTGGCAAATGCAGAAATACTGAGGACAAACACAGGCATGACCTTGAAAAATGTGTTGCTTAAGTTGCAGAATGGCAGCAAAATCAGTGTCCTCTTCAAACAGTATATCCTTAAAAATAAATTAGGATCTAAAACAATTTCTTTATAGTTACAGTGACTAATAATGTGAGATTGGCTAAGGATGTGTTTGAAAGCGAGACTGCCAGAAACTCGTAAGGTGGGCGGATTATAAGTCTCTTTTCTCCTTTCATGTTTTTGTAATCAGTTTTAGATTGCAACTGCATTTGGGTTGTGTATATCTAGTGAGTAAAAAAACTCTAAATATTCACAGTGATCCTAGTATATGAGCCATCTGGTACTGACTTATTAAACTACAGATTTGTTGAGTTGGTTTTATGTTTCTGGATATTTTCCTGACTCGACTATAGGCAACTTTTTGGAGATTGTTACTTTTTAAATAAAAATAACTGGTAAAAACTACTGCATCACTTGATTTTCTGTTTACAGTTCCACTATAATAAACTTCTGTTATCTTAATTGATCTGAAGAATGTAATTTAGGCATGACTGCATTGTGTGGTGAAGTGTTATCAGCACATTCAGCGCTAGGAAGCTGCTAGCACACACATGCAGTTTTTGGTGAAACCTATAACCAGCTTAGGGACTGTAAGGCAAAGGTGCTTTTAATTAGTATTTCTAAGCAGGAACTGTGGCTTTGTGGAGCTGTGTTTCTAACGCTTCTAGAGCATAAAATGGAGGTATCCCAGGAACATCTAGAAAGCTGATTAAACTAATTTTTTCCTCAAGAGCAACACACAACCCTGGAGGGAAAAAAAAAATGGAGTATTTGCTCAGACTGAAAACTGGAAAGCATGAAAAAGTCTGTGTCTGTGCCAGCAGTCTGACTTCTTTAATGACAGATCTAATAACAGAAAACCAAATGGCTGTAGTCCTATTGCATTAAGCAGAGTTTTATTTCTGATCTCCTTTTATTGCTGTATTTCAGAATGAGCTCTTTGCATGATATGACCAAATGGTGGGCTCAGGAAGAGCATCACCCTTACTACAGCATCGTGCAGCAGCTGACAATAAGGTGGTTTAAAACTGCCAGTAGTAAATGAATAACAGCTGGTGTTTAGGTTATCAGCACAGGTGTCTGCTAAGAGCTTTTGCTGGAAGCTGGCAAAGCAGAGTTTTTCTTCTATT